GTAGTTCTGTTCCCCGAGCAAGCATGGGTGCAGTCTACCATTAATTTAGAGTATACCACAGCATTTACTCCTTGATTAACTTTTACTGGTCAAAACTACTTCTCCGAAAGTGTAATCTATCCATTGGAAATCACTGGATCCTATTAATTTTCTCATTTTATCCTTTGTGACAATTTTCCCTTCCCCTGGGTTTCACTTATTACTGGTGATGGTTGTTTTTGTACTTTAAGAGTTGAATTATAGCTAGAGTAGATTAGTGGTAGACACCCACTAAGTTAAGGGTATAATGAAGGAAATTGCTTCACTACTTTATATTTTATTTCTTTTTATGGAGGTGCCCCAAGGTTTGGCATAATTGGTGTAAGAATGCTAAATTGCACTGAAATGTATCTAAATACCAGAAAACCGAAATAAAAGAAATAATAGAAAGTAGAATTCTGAAACCTATTTAATGCATGGAGTATTAGAATAGATTATGGCTCAAGATCAACTATAAAAATCTGGTGTGCCCTTGTTGCCAAGAAGGCTAACGGCATTTTGGGTTGTATAAGTAGGGGCATTGCCAGCAGATCGAGGGACGTGATCATTCCCCTCTATTCAACATTGGTGAGGCCTCACCTGGAGTACTGTGTCCAGTTTTGGGCCCCACACTACAAGAAGGATGTGGAAAAATTGGAAAGAGTCCAGCGGAGAGCAACAAAAATGATTAGGGGGCTGAAGCACAAGAGTTATGAGGAGAGGCTGAGGGAACTGGGATTGTTTAGTCTGCAGAAGAGAAGAATGAGGAGGGATTTGATAGCTGCTTTCAACTACCTGAAGGGGGGTTCCAAAGAGGATGGATCTAGACTGTTCTCAGTGGTACCAGATGACAGAACAAGGAGTAATGGTCCCAAGTTGCAGTGGGGGAGATTTAGTTTGGATATTAGGAAAAACTTTTTCACTAGGAGGGTGGTGAAGCACTGGAATGGGTTACCTAGGGAGGTGGTGGAATTTCCTTCCTTTGAGGTTTTTAAGGTCAGGCTTGACAAAGCCCTGGCTGGGATGATTTAGTTGGGATTAGGTCCTGCTTTGAGCAGGGGGTTGGACTAGATGACTTCCTGAGGTCCCTTCCAACCCTGATATTCTATGATTCTATGAAGGGTGTAGACCCATGAAATACTTGTCTTAATTTTCCCAGTCACAGGAAATATAGTCTCAGTTGAGAACTAGGCATCTCAGAAAGAGTATCCTCCCATTCAGAATAGAGAGTCCCCTGGCTTGGAGCTGCATCTGTGCAGAGGAAATCACTGGATACCGTCTGACTAAAAACTAATTCTATTGCATTATAAGGAAAAATTAGTGTCTCCATGTATAGTAGTAGATACAAAATCTGCACTTCTCCACTGTCTGGGATGCTCCATTAGTTACTAAGAGGTTGTCTTCTTCTCACTCCATATCTCACACAGGTAGGAAAACAATTGTAGTCTCACTAAGAAAAGTATCTATGCTAGCAGGAAAGGTTTTGACACTGTACAAACTGATGCAATAGAAGAAAGTTGTTCTTTCCCAGAAGGATCTTAAGTTTTTAAGCTAGATGGCTTCAGTCATATTTTCTATTGGCAACAGCTTGGCTATATATTCTCCACAGGTAACAATGTTTTAAGTGGTGACTGAAATATTGCTCACTATGTGAAGCGTCACCAGATCTTCCTTAACTGATGAAGTCTGTGGTTATGATGAGTAGCTCGTATGAAACATAAAAGCATATTGCAACCAGGAAACAATTATATGGAAATGTTTGGATTTGAAAGCTGTCAGGCTGGCAATACATAAGAACATAAGAATGGCCATACTGGTTCAGATCAATGGTCCATCTAGCCCAGTATCCTGTCTTCCAACAGTGGCCAATACCAAGTGCTTCAGAAGGAGTGAACAGAACAGGTAATCATCAAGTGATCCATCCCCTGTCACCCATTCCCAGCTTCTGGCAAACCGAGGCTAAGGACAATTCAGAGCATGGCTTTACATCCCTGCCTATCCTGGTTAATTGCCATTGATGGACCTATCCTCCATGAACTTACCTAGTTCATTTTTGAACCCTGTTATGGTCTTGGCCTTCACAACAGCCTCTGGCAAAGAGTTCCAGAAGTTGACTGTGCGTTGTGTGAAGAAATACTTCCTTTTGTTCGTTTTAACCTGCTGCTTATTAATTTCATTTGGTGACCCCCCTAGTTCTTGTGTTACGAGAGAGAGTAAATAACACTTCCTTATTTACTTTCTCCACACCAGTCACCATTTTCAAGACCTCTATCATATCCTCCCTTAGTCGTCTCTTTTCCAAACTGAAAAGTTCCAGTCTTATTAATCTCTCCTCATATGGTAGCCATTCCATACCCCTAATCATTTTTGTTGGCCTTTTCTGTACCTTTTCCAATTCAAATATATCTTTTTTGAGATGGGGCGTGCAGTATTCAAGATGTGGACGTAGCATGGGTTTATATAGAGGCAATATGATATTTTCTGTCTTCGTTATCTATCCTTTTCTTAATGATTCCCAACACTCCGTTAGCTTTTTTGACTGCCTGTGAGTGGATGTTTTCAGAGAACTATCCACAGTGACTCCCAAGATCTCTTTCTTGAATGGTAACAGCTAATTTAGACCCCATCATTTTATATGTATCGTTGGGATTATGTTTTCCTATGTGCATTACTTTGCATTTATCAACATTGAATGTCAATTGCCATTTTGTTGCCCAGTCACCCAGTTTAGTGAGATCCTTTTGTAGCTTTTCACAGTCTGCTTGGGACTTAACTATCTTGTGTAGTTTTATATCATCTGCAAATTTTGCCACCTCACTGTTTACTCCTTTTTCCAGATCATTTATGAATATGTTGAACAGTTCTGGTCCCAGTATAGACCCCTGGGGGACACCACTATTTACCTCTCTCCATTCTGAAAAGGGTCTATTTATTCCTACCCTTTGTTTCCTATCGTATAACCAGTTACTGATCCATCAGAGGACCTTCCCTCTTATCCCCAGGACAGCTTACTTTGCTTACGAGCGTTTGGTGAGGGACCTTGTTAAAGACTTTCTGAAAATCTAAGTACACTATATGCACTGGATCCCCCTTGTCCACATTCATGTTGACCCCCTCGAAGAATTCTAGTACATTGGTGAGGCATGATTTCCCTTTACAAAAAACATGTTGATTCTTCCCCAACAAATCATGTTCATCTATGTGTCTGATAATTCTTTTTTTTTTTTTTAACCAGTTTGAAGTCAGGCTTACCGGCCTGTAATTGCCGGGATCACCTCAGGAGCCCTTTTTAAAAATTGGCGTCACGTTAGCTATCCTCCAGTCATCTGGTACAGAAGCTGATTTAAATGATAGGTTACAAACTACAGTTAGTAGTTCTGCAATTTCACATTTGAGTTCCTTCCGAACGCTTGGGTGAATACCATCTGGTCCTAGTGACTTATTACTGTTTAGTTTATCAATTTGTTCCAAAAGCTCCTTTAATGACACCTCATTAATTTGGGACAGTTCCTCAGATTTGTCACCTAAAAAGAATGGCTCAGGTTTGGGAATCTCCCTCACATACTCAGTCTTGAAGACTGATGCAAAGAATTCATTAAGTTTCTGTGAATGGCCATATCTTCCTTGAGTGCTCCTTTAGCATCCTTTCTGGCTCTCAGATTCACTTTTTTTATTGTCTTGAATTTTTTTCAACTGTATTGAGATACTTTTTCAAAAGGCGCTGTACAAAAATAAATTGTAAACATTCCAGTTGCCATAATGTATTGATTTAGGAATTTGTATGGTCCTCGTTACAGTAATATCTAAGAATAATAGAATATCAGGGTTGGAAGGGACCTCAGGAGGTCATCTAGTCCAACCTCCTGCTCAAAGCATGACCAATCCTCAACTAAATCATCCCAGCCAGAATCTGACAATTGTTAATAAATTTTAACCTCAGAACACCACTGTGAGGAAGGGATGAGAAACTGAGGCTCAGGGTAAATTAAGTGACTTGTCCCAAGGTCATACAGGAATGGCTGCATTGGGAATTGAGCCAAGGTCTCTTGAGTTCCAGGTTAGTGCCCTACTGCCCTATCCATTAGACCAGGGGTTCTCAAACTTCATTGCACCGTGACCCCCTTCTGACAACAAAAATTACTACATGACCAGAGGAGGGGGGACCAAAGCTTGAGCCCACCTGAGCCCCGCAGCCCTGGATGGGGGGCCAAAGCCCGAGTCCCACCACCCAAGGCGGACAGGCCAAAGCCGAAGCCCACGGGGCTTCAGCCCTGGGTGAGGGGCCTGTAACCCGAGTCCCGCCACCCAGGGCTGAAACCCCGGAGCTTTGGCTTCAGTCCCAGGTGGTGGAGCTTTGGCTTCGGCTTTGGGCCCCAGCAAGTCTAACGCCAGCCCTGGCAACCCCATTAAAACGGAGTCGCGATCCACTTTGAGCTCCCGACCCACAGTTTGAGAACTGCTGCATTAGACCATCTGTTCCTTCGATCTGGGAATCAGGCAGACCAGAGCTTAGTTTATTTCTCATTGATACAAAACTCTCCTGAGCTCTGGAAAGGAGACATTAATAGATCTTGTCCCTCTGTGGTAGATTGTATTCTGGACTTCATTAGAGCATACTCATCTAAATTATACTTGTTTTTCCTAATGTGTTTGAATCTGGTCTGCTATCTACACAGCAGTTTGGTGTTTCCTGTATGAATCTACAGGGACTTAGACTCGATACTGTTAAAAAAAAATTAGTTATTCTTTACTGTGTGGCGAGTCAATTACTGAGTGTCATCAAGGGAAACAGTTGTACTCTTGCTTGATATCGATTTTTCAAAGTGGGGGTTAAAAATGTATACAGGTGTCCTGCTGCACAGTGCCTGTTACTTTCCTGTTTCCTGAATGAGTGCAGTGGTGTCTTTCTCAACCTGTTTTGGAAAGTAGGAACCTTTCCTTGTGTTTCTGATTTATTTCCTCTGTCTGCCTTTGGTATCCAGGGGAGCATGTAACTTCGAGGTTTAAAAATGAAGTTGAACGGATGGGTTTTGATATGAACAATGCCTGGAGGATATCCAATATCAATGAGAAATACAAGTAAGTTGTATGGATCTCTGTAGACTGTTGCTTCACAGCCAAGTGCCCTGTCAAAACACCAATCCTCATGTAGCAGATCACTGGAACTTTTTAAAATTGAGACGTTCTACAATGAAAGATAATCTGCAAAAAGGGAAGAATAAGCTTATGCCCTTTTTGCTGATTTATGTATTTATAAATAATGCCTTAAAGTGGGCTTTCAAGTATATATTTTTTTAATTAGAGATATCAGGTCTTGATTTTCTGTTCTTCTTGCTGGAAGACTCCTCGGAGGACAGGAGAACTAGAGGGACTGTAACATTACAGAAGAGTGAAACCTGACCAAATGAGAAGGGAATTGATTCTTATTCAGACTGTTTAAAATATTTTGCTTTTGTTAGCAACTATTTTCCTCCAACACCTAACAAAAATGGGGAAGAAAAACTCTTTGTGGAAGATTCAAAGACCCAGGCTTTTGAACTGAGATCTGAGAAAGTTCCCACTCCAGTTCTCTAGTTTCACAGGAGTCTTCCAACAAAACTAGGGAGACTAGACTAGATATTCTTGACATGTGTAAGGTTTTTTTAAAAAGGAAAAGAGGCCTTTTTTATTTATACATAATAAAGAAGCACAATGGAGAAAAACCGTAATTTTTTCCCCTTTGGCATTTTTAGAGTCTGAGGAGTAAATTCAGGAAAGTCCTGTTCAGGAAAACACTTATGCATGTACTTAAGTGCTTTTCTGAATAGAGATAGACTTAGGCACATGCTTTATGTGTTGCCCTGAATTGGGGGGGAAATGCATAACTTTTTTTTGTAACTACTTCCACTTTTGTTACCCTTATTGGAAGAAAATATTTTCAATTCCCTGCAATTTATCTCAAGCTGTGGAAGACATTCTTTATGGGCTCACAATTTTTCTCCTAGAAATCTGCTTAAATTTGGGTGAGAAATGAAACACAATTTTTAAACATTAAGGTAAGGGTTCCCAAGTGATGGTCTGTGGACCACTAGTGTTGTCTGTGTAGAGCTGGCTGGCTTATCGTGCTGTTTCTCCTTGTCTCCTGCTGCTTCCATAGTTGTACAGGCTTTTTGTTACAGAGAAGAGTTAGGCAGCCTGAAAAGCAGCCTAAGACAAAGATGTTCCGTCATTCCAGAGTTCTGTTTGGTTAGAATTATAACCTTGCTGTTATGGTTCATTCTTGGAAGGTTCCTTTCAACCATTGGTCAGATTGGAGGGGGTAGGGAGAGGAGTGTTGGTATTCTCTTATACCAGGGGTAGGCAACCTATGGCACACTATGCCGAAGGCGGCATGCAAGCTGATTTTCAGTGGCACTCACACTGCCCAGGTCCTGGCCACTGGTCCGGGGGGGCTCTGCATTTTAATTTAATTTTAAATGAAGCTTCTTAAATATTTTAAAAACCTTGTTTACTTTTCATACAACAATAGTTTAGTTATATGTTATAGATTTATAGAAAGAGACCTTCTAAAAACATTAAAATTACTGGCACGCGAAACCTTAAATTAGAGTGAATAAATGAAGACTCGGCACACCACTTCTGAAAGGTTGCCGACCCCTGCCTTATACTCACTGAGATTCAGTGAGAACCCACGCATAGTAGATTGAGCTGATCTTCAAAATATGAGTATCCTTTTTTTTGCTTGCAAGTTTGGGTTAGTGGCTAAGTAGTTACCAAAGTTGACATTTATATAAACATCAATTGGTCTAAGAATTAATATACTATAGCAATGAATGGGAACTGTTCACACCTCTCCAAGCTAAGCTTACAGACAATTTGTGTAATTTCAGCACACATCACTCTTTTCACTAAATTCTAGAGCACAAGATGGCAGCCCACAGGGAAAAGTACCATTTCGCCAGATCACCACACATCAGCACAATCCAGTTCCTACCTTCCAAAAGGGATTGATAGGTTGATTCATTGGTCCAGTTTTACACATATATCCTCTGCTGACCGACTCTGCGAGACCATAATGACTCCATTCCTAGCGGCTTTGTGATATGAGCTTATAGAAGAGAGTGGAATTACTAACTCTTTGGTATTGAAAGATGAGGAATTTCTCTTCTGTGTTTTGATGCGTTCCTGGCAGCTGGAGTTAAATAACCATTGGGTTAAAATTTTCCTAAGGAAACGCTGGGTCAGATCCTCAAATGGTGAAAGCAGCACTACTCCATTGATATCAGTGGAGCTATGCAGACTTACACCAACTAAGGTTCTGGTCCACTGTATTCTTTAATGTCTGATAAAGAGGATTGTAGCTGCATATATGATTGATCAAAAGCTCACAAAATAGTATGGGTTGCGAAATGAACAGCACTTAGTTTGCTTGTACTGCCTTTTATTTTATATTGTCAGTAGGTTATGTATCTGCTATTTGTCTGCTACATTTAACACTTCACTTCCTCTTTCCACTCAGGCTCTGTGGTAGCTACCCACAGGAGCTCATAGTTCCCGCCTGGATCACGGACAAGGAGCTGGAGAGTGTGGCAAGCTTTCGGTCCTGGAAGCGTATCCCGGCTGTGGTTTACAGGTGAGACTCTAGACCAGGAGCATCCACTGTCACCAAACTGAGGATTGGGGCTTTTCGGGAAATAAAACCGTAGCTTACTTGGAACTGGGAATCTCAGCTAGTAATGAAACATGCTCAGGGTGTTAATGTGCCAGGGCTCAAAATGAGTGCAAGTAACTACAATGAAGGTAATGAACATTTCAATAGATTCTGTAAATAGTAGGAAACACCAGAGTTACAGCAGTGCCTGGTGCCCCTAGTTTCTGAGTATGCATAATCAAAGGGGTGTTGTGTGCATACATGAGAAGCTTTGCTATATTTTGATTCCTTGTTACTCTGTAACTCTTCCAGCTATGAATTACTAATACCTTCACCTCTCAACTTTTGTTGTTGCAGAACTCTTACATCGGACTTCAGCGTGTAACTCACCTTGTCAGTTTTTGACACCCCCCCCCTTTTGGTTTTTACACCCCCATACAATAATTGCGACACACAAGGGCTCTGGAAAGAGATTTAGTGCTTGTATTGACTGACATTTTAGGCTATTTGTCTCTGGTATATCTGTGATAACTTTGTAAATACTGTAAGTTTTTTCCTTGCCAGTCTTCCCAGGACTTTCAGTAGAGTCCTTATGCAGCATCTAATTTGAGCAGTTGATTGTGGCAAATTAGAGATTAATGTGATTAGATATGTTACAGTCTCCTAAATCTCTGTAATGCTTCCTGTGTGGGAGGTCTTTACAGTTCTACAATTACCTCCATGTTATACACTCCTGTGTATGTAACCCTTCCTGTTCGACTAGGGTCCCTATGGGCGTTCCACTGTAGGTGTGCTTGTGTTCCTGCATTGCGGATCAGAGAACTTTGGTAGCAGGGTCCATTATGCCCACGCGTGCGCTATCTCTCCTGGTGCACGAGGCTAGCCAGCATGTGTGGGCTAACTCCTTAGTTCCTTCTCAACTGCCCTGGCTAGAGATGGATCGATTAGCAGTCCATTTCCAACCATTACCTTCTTTTACATTTCTATAGCTAGTTAGTTTCCCCAGTCTTAGTTGTAGTTTTTCTCATTTTACTTTCTTCGCAAAGAAAACAAAAAGACTTTGTTTCCCCCCTTTTTCATCAGGGATTCTTCCACCAACGGGGTATGCCCTGTTCACCGGGCTTCAAGAAGTGCCTTTCCTGCAAAGAGGCTATCCCCGTAGCAGGCAAGCACTCCCGGTGCATACGCTGCCATGGGGAAGGACACATTCCACAGAAATATTGTCTCTGCCAGTAACTCAGGCCCAGGTCTTGCGAGGACAGGGAGTTGAGACAGAAGATCATCTTCATGGAGGCAGCCCTCCAACTGTTCCCGGACCCATGCCAAGAGTCACCTGGCAGATGTGAGTCTTCCCCACAGCCCTCAACATCCAAGGACTGTGGGTTGAAGAAATCAGTTGCTGACTCCTCTCGTAAGTCATTGAAGAAGAGAGTAGGAAGTCCCCAGAATGAGCCCCAAGTCAGCCTTAAATATTCTCTAGCACGTTCGGCACCATCAGTACAAGACAGTCCCAGCCTGTTATCATGGCTCACAAAAATCTGGAGTGCCAGGTGTCATTCATGTGCCTAAGACCTGATGGGTACAGGCATAGAGTCAACGGCACCCAAAGACTCACTCCACTAAGAAGACACTGCCAGTACACATGGTTCCATCAGCACTGTCATCGATGCCCCATCAGGCACTGGAGCAGTTGGTGTGGGCAAGATCACCAACCCCCTCAATACCACCAGTGGCACCGAATCGGTTGGTACTGCTGGAATTCTGGCTCTTGAGAGACCTCCATGTATCCGACGTACTGGAGTCTCCTCTTCTTGGGACCGGGACTTCGGCACCGAGTCATCTTCTGGCATGGGAAACTTCCCCGCAGCCCTGCCATGCTCCCCGAGCATACCCTCAGACAGCCCCACTGGGTCTTGGAAATTGTTTGCACTGGGTACTCCATCCATTTTACCGCCTTACTCCCTTCACAACACTCTTCCCTCTCCCTCTACAGTGACCCTTCTCACAAGAGTTTAGTATGACAAGAAATAGACAGAGCGATAAAACCAGTACCTCTACGAAGCAAAGGTTTTTACTCTTGCTATTTCCTAATACCCAAGAGGAAGGGAGGTTGGAGACCCATACTAGACCTCAGAGCACTCAAAAAATATGTCAAAGCTCAAAAAATTAAGATGGTCACTCTAGCAACGATTATTCCAGCCTGAAACAGGGAGACTGGTTTTTGGCCCTCAACCTTCAGGACGCTTACTTTTGATCTCAATCTTGCCCCACAGACGGTTCCTCAGACCTACCCTAGGACATGACCACTACCAGTACAGAGTACTCCCCTTCGGGCTGTCATTAGCTCTGAGAGTATTCTCCAAGGTTCTCTTAGTAGTGGCAGTACACTTACATTCCCCGGGGATCATGATTTACCCCTACCTGGATGATTGTCTCCTCAGAGGCCAGTCCTTCCAAGAGGCTCGCCTGATTCACCGGATCCACAGTAGACTTGGTAATGAAATTGGGCCTACCGATCAATTCCCAGAAATCAACCCTCACTCCAGTGCAGCTCCTGGAGTTCATAGGCACTGAGCTTGACTCATTACAGGCCAGAGCCCTCCTACTTCAGCACAGATTCCTCTCTTTGACCATACTCATAGAGACCGTTTAAAACAGCCCACAAATGTCAGCCAAACACTGCCGCAAACTTTTGAGGCATATGCCATGGGCACAGCAGAAGTACCGCATGCCAGGCTTCACATGCGATGACTTCACTTGTGGTTCAGCTCAGTCTACAGACCAAACAGAGACAGGCTAGACAAACCCCTGTCACTACCCACCAGAGTCAAAAACTCCTTGGAGTGGTGAAAAGACCCAAGAAATGTCTGAAAAGGGATTCCCTTTTTGCAAACCTCTCCGTCTCTGCTTCTTACCACCAACCCATCCCTCATAGGATCGGATGCACATCTAAATGACCTGACAACACAAGGCAAGTTGTCATCTACAGAGATATCCCTCCACATCAACTCCCTCGAACTCAGGAGGCCTGCACTCATTTCCTCCCACTGATCAAGGCATTAGACATGAGAATCCTAACAGACAACATCGCGTGTATGTACTACATAAATTGACAAGGAGGAGCTAGATCATTCTCCTTCTGTGCAGAAGCAATGAAACTGGTGCATCTCCCACGATGTCACACTATCAGCAGCTTACCTTCCAGACACTCAAAACTCAATAGCAGATA